ACTTAACAAATGGCTGCAAAAGTTCAACATTAGAAAAAAGTAAGACAACTAGAATCACTTCCTCTTTTTTAGAAAGTCTTTTAGCTTTTGGTTCTTTTTCTTATGAACAATGAAAAAGAGGCTTTCTATTTATTTATTTTTGTGATTAAGGTATATGGTGAGGATGAGGATGTTGAAGAGGTAATACCTGTAGCTGAGCCAGTCTTGCACATGTTCTTAATGCTGGACTAGGTGATTCTTTCAAAAGTTCAAAGCTGAAATGCCTCATCCACTCTTCCCAATCCTCTTTAGTACTTCGTTGAGAAGCCTCACTGGCGGTACGCAATCTGCCATCATTGACCTATATAAATGTGAGAAAAGAAAAATTCAATTCTCTCTCCTACACTTTTCTCTTCGTACGTATTCTATACTTAACCTATACCGGTTGTTTCTTAGAGAGTGAACTACACGCTCCACCCTATGGAGCCTCCAGACAGGGCTCAATCAATGCGTGCTACTTCTAGTTGACTCTCCAGCCAGGTGCGACCATATCTGGCAAACCAAACCAAGGAAAACCAACTTATGCAACAACTGTTACTACGACAAATCAATCAACAAATGCTCCTAGACACCCTAGAGAATTAGTAATTGCAAGAATCACTACTCATAATGGGATTCCGGCAGTAATATTCAAGGCAAAAGATTACTATGATATCATGGCGGAGGAATTAGGTTGACAATCGTTAGGCGATTCTTAAAAGTTAGACCCCAAATTGATCAAATTAGGTCAATTTTTAAGGAATTAATTCCAATCAGGGGCTCAATCAAAATCGGTGCGTACGATAATCATTACGTGTTCTTAATTTCACAAATGAAGATGATTTTAACTTGGTATGGTTCAAAAGGGTCATCGAGATGGAGGCACTTGAAATGTGGCTACAAAAGTGGACTCCGATTTCAAAGCGGAAGAGGACATCCCTATTGCATCCGTGTGGGTTCTTCTACTAGGTTTGCCCTACCATATGCATTCATGGCATTATGTTAAACAAATTTTCAGTTCTATTGGAACTCCCTTAGCTATGGATATTGCAATGAATGGAAGAACTAGACCGAGCATGGCTAAGATTCGAGTTGAAATCGACTTGTTGAAATCTCACCCGGAAAATGTCTGGGTAGGTCTTGAGGATGAGGCATCACCTCTAAGGAAATACTATCAAAAGCTTGAATACAAAAACAAACCCAAGTACTGTAAGCATTGTAGAAAGTTGGGTCACAATGTGATGAATTGTTGGGTACTGGAAAAAATTAGGACCAATGAGGCTAAAGAGGCGGAGGATAACAAGAACAAATCTGTCAATATAACTCGGGGGGGGGAGTAGATGACAACAGGGGAAAACAGAAGCAAAATGAGAACAATCAGAGAATGGAAAGGAATGGTGAAGGCAATGAAAGAACAAGAACATAGGCAATTAGAATCTGCAAGACAAGGTCAAGGATCAACAAAATGGTAACACACAAAAGGATGATGATACTGTTGAGGATAACCAGACGATGGTTGATAGATTGAGTATGATCAGAAAGCATAAGAAAGAAAAAAAGAGTGCTCCAAAAAAGAAAAGCAAGGTCATGTTCAAACCGACTATCTCTAGCATAAAAGAAAGAAAGAAACAGAGACAAAATAAACAGGATCATGAGAAGGAAGAGGAAAAAAGGAAGCAACAAACTCTTGAGTCAGAAAATGAGAGGCGACCAGATGGACATACTGAGGCAGAAAGCAGCAATAATTAGCTGAATTACAATGGCACCAAGCTGAAAAATGCTACATCTCCTAACAGCTCTGAGGAAAAAGTGAAAACTACCTACCCAAATGAAGAACTTGTCAAAAAAGAGCAGCCAAAGATCAATCATATAAGCAAGTCTACTAGCTTACCTATAAAGATTAAAAATCAAGAACCTTTACAATTAGCGATGGAGCTGAACAGTGAGCAGGTAGTCGATCAACCCCCTAGGCCTCCAAACTACAATTCGAAATATATTATCAACTACAGAAAGGATAAAGATCTCACTGCATCCAGTCCTACAATCTCCAACAGTGAAAAAGAGGGATCACAAGAACAATGAGAAAATACTCAGTACAAGGATGATGATACTGCATATACTAGAGGAAGAAGCAAACAAAGAAGAAGAGGAAAAAGATCAAATGCAAAGACTCGTTCTCCCAGTATGAAAAGAGAACAAAAAAAAACCCCTCAGCTAGTATTCTATGATCAGTCCTATTTTCTAGAATATTAGGGGAATGAGATAAAAAAAAGCAAAACATAGAATTAAATACTTGGTTAATGATCTTAGGCATATTTATATGCCCAAAAATCTAATATTGCCCGTATTTTGGCTAAGTTTGAATTCAATGTGTGTTTGTTTGTAGTCTTATAGAGTCATTTGGTTGTTTATGAGCTAACCAACATGATTAGTTGTGTAGGTGAGCTTAATTGGAGAAACGATCACAAAAATGTACAATGGGGAACACAAAAGATCTGAGTCGAAAGAAAGCAAGGAAGACGATTGAGGAAATGTCATTCAAGGCATCTTTGTATCCTCTCCGCGTCGCAGAGAGGAATTTTATAGTGTCTCGTGAAATAAAAATCCAGTCAAAGCACTTCGTGTAGCTCCTGCATCACGGTGAAGAGAAAAAGATCCCAGAACAAAATTTGGGAATGCCTCCGCGTCGCGCTGCTGAGCCTCAGTTTTGGTCATTTCAACTTTAGTATAAATATGTCATTATTTTATTTTATTAAAATATTCTTTTTCTAGGTTTTGAAGAACGATGACTTGGGAGAACGTTTTCACCATTTTTAGGGTTCTTTCCTAAACTCTTTTATTTTCGATCTCTTTATGTTTATTAAACATTGTTTGATCGAATTTTTGATTATGAGTAGCTAAATACCCTTGTTCTAAGGCTGTGGCTACAAGATTATTGTAATTGATTAAGTTTTCATTGGGTTAATATCAATTATCATATGAATCTTTCTTATGTTCTTATTTTTCGTATTTCATGACTGATCACCATTGAAATAAATACATTGTCGGAATTGAACTTGAGAGAGGAATAAGAGAATAGAATATGGGGAATAAGGAGAATGATTAATTCTTAATAACTAGAGTTAATTTGTATCTAGGATAGGGATATACCTAGAAACCATGCTTGGTCACTATACAGGAAGAAATCGTAATGCTCAATACTTAATCCAGCCTATCCCCGCTCAACGATGTTGTTAGGTTGTTATTTATCGTAGGTGATTAGAGGTCGGGAGACTATGATCACACATTTAACCCTGTGATTCATTGATTTGATAGTTGATAAATACCGATATAAATGATATTAATTGCATGAATCCTGATAAAAGCTGCATCCTTGGACTTTACCCAATCATTATTTTTAACCCTTGAAATTGAATCGCACTTATTACATTTTGTTGAACTCTTAGAATTGTAAATTAAATCACTTTTGGAATATTGATACACTTGTGCTTAGCTGAAAGTTGGAGAAATTGAGTGATTCTAACCATAAGTCCCTGAGGGTACGATACCCGACTTTTTATAAGAGCCACTTTAATACTTGAACGACCACGTGCACTTGCGTGTGCAATTTGGCCGCAACAAGTTTTTGGCGCCGCTGCCGGGGACTTTAGAATTAGGAATTATCTGATTTTTCTGAAGTTAAAAAGCAAGTGTTGACAACTTGATCTTAGCATTTCATTGTTGCAGATTGTATTGGAATTTCAAACTGGACGACAATCAAGGATTGGTATCGCCTCTAGCTGAACCGGAAAGATTCGTACACTACGGGAGAAGGCTAAGACGACTTACTTACCCAATCCCTCTTGTTGATAGTAAACCAACATTTCCAGTAGCAAGAGTTGAGCAAGAGGAACCTGAAATAATGGTTGAGATGAAGGTAAGAGACGTGGCTATCCCACATACCACCAATGTGACATAATGCATTCAGAAACCTACAGCTGGTGGAAAGTTTGAACTGAAGCAGAGTATAGTGCAACTATTGCACACTAATGGGTAGTTCACTAGTCTGCTGCACGAGGATCCAACAGTCCACATCCAAAATTTCCTCGATATGATACATACACTCCAACTGGAGTAAATGATGATTACGTGAGGCTCACTTTATTCCCATTTTCTCACTTGGGGAAGAAAAAAGATGGTTAAACTCTGAGCCTGCGAACTCAATTACCACTTGGGATGATCTTGCACAGAAGTTCCTTATCAGATTGTTTCCATCTGGGAAAACAACTAAGTTTAAGAGTGACAGCCTAAGTTTTAGACAGAAAGGGGGAGAGAAGTTGTACCAAGCTTAGGACATGTTTAAATCGATGTTGATTAGCTACCCACATCATCATCAATCTAATGAGGTGTTGGTCCATATCTTCATTGAAGGATTGGAGCCTAATACCAAAATTCTACTTAATTCAGCAGCAGGTGGTCAGGCTTTGGAGAAGACATATGCTGAGATATTCACCTTGCTGAACAGGATATCACAGGGTAACCCTGAATGGAACAGTGGAGGGGTGAAACATGTAATACAAAAAACTGCAGGTTTGCTGGAAGTAGATGCAGTGACTGCTTTAATTGCACAGATTGCTGCGATGCAGAATATGATGAACACCCATTTCAGCAATCTAGCATTAGGACAACAGCCCACGCAGGTGAATGCATTTCAACAACCACCAACTTGGTGTGAGATCTGCGGAGCTGGTGATCATAGTGCAGAGGTATGTGGTGCGAACCCAAGTTCTGTTAATTTTGTAGGTAATGCACAACGAGGAGGAGGCAAGCAGAACTATGGAAATTCTCACAACCCGAGTTGGTGCAACCATCCAAACTTTTCTTGGAGTGGAAATCAAAATCATGCTCAAGGCTAAAATCAGTATAGACCCCAAGGAAATGCGCAAGGGTACCAAATACAGGCCCAATGGGAGCATCCAAATAAGCAGTCGAATAATATGAGCATGGAGGAGATGCTGAAAAAGATTATGGTTGATCAAGCCCAGTTAGATGTTGATGCAAGAAACAATCAGTTAGCTATACAAAATCTGGAGAAACAATTCGGGCAGCTTGCTAGTGCCCAAAACTCACGACCGCAAGGAGGTTTACTGGGAAATACTGATCCAAATCCCAAGCAGGTAAACATGGTAGGTACTCGCAGTGGTTTGCAATTGGAAGAGTTAGATCCTAAGAAAAGAATCACTGATGCTATGAGTAAAGAGAGTGAACCCAATGAGAGTGAGGTTGTTGCACAAGAAGAAAGAGTGCAACCAATAGTGAAACCACCTCCTCCATTCCCTCAGAAGTTCAAGAAACAGAAGGAGAATGAATGTTTTGGTAAGTTTCTATCTCTTCTGAAACAAGTTCACATTAAGTTGCCATTGGTAGATGTTTTGCAAGGTATACCCAGGTATGCTAAATATGTGAAGGAGATTATGGCGAACAAAAGGAGGTTGACGGAATATGAGACTATTGCACTTACTGAAGAGTGCAGCTCTAGAATCCGAAATAAGTTGCCCACTAAACTAAAAGATCCAAGTAGCTTTACGGTTTAGATCACTACAGGGGAGAGCATTCATGAGCAAGGATTGTGTGTTCTAGGAGCTAGTATCAATTTGATGCCAACTTCTTTGTAGAAAAAGTTGGGGTTGGGTAGTCCTAAACCTACTACCATCATCTTACAGTTGGTTGATAGATCTGTTGCTAGGACTGAGGGTGTTGTAAAGGATGTGCTAGTGCAAGTGGGATCGTTGATATTTGTTGTGCTGAATTTTGAGCCAGATCCTGAGGTCTCATTCATCTTAGGAAGAATTTTCTTGTCTATTGGGTGGGCTGTGATAGATGTAGCACATGTGCAACTCACTATGTGGGCCCATGATAAAATGGAGGTGTTCGATGTGTACAAGGTATTAAAGCTGCCAGCTATTTATGAGGAGTTGTCTGCCATAACTGTGATAGATCTTGAGGCTGAAGCTCAATACATTGCATCTAAGGACCCTTTAGAGCGAGTATTGGTAGGAGAGGATATCTATGGGGATGTTGAGGCACAAGAAATGGTGTAATATTTTGATGTGGCACTTGTAGGTACATCCGGAGATCATTGGGAGCCTTTGAATAGGGTGTTGGGTCCTCCACCCAAGCCCTCCCTTGAAAACTCACCTCAGCTGGAGTTAAAAGTATTGCCAGCCCACCTCAGGTATCCATTTTTGGGTAAAGATAAAACTTACCGGTTATTTTGTCTATAGCATTGTCTGAAGCACAGGTGGAAGCATCATTAATCATCCTTCATCCTGAAGAAGAGGAAATCAACTCTAGGTTGGTAAATGTCCGACATCTATGGAATTAATCCCGCATTGTGCATGCATAAAATCTATATAGAGGAAGGGCATAAGCCGAGTGCATAGTATCAGCGGAGGCTAAATCCAGTTATGAAGGATGTGGTGAGAAAAGAGGTGATCAAGTGGTTAGATGCAGGGATCATGTACCCCATATCAGACAGTAAATGGGTGAGTTCAGTACAGTGTGTGCCCAAGAAGGAATTACCTGTGTATTGTTATGAAGAACTGAAGGGTTGGTGAGTTCAGTATTTGGTTACTATGATAAGGAACATTTTGGGCTGTTTTATGTGTATATGTGGGGACAGCAGGATTGATGTTGGGGAAAGGTGTGAATATTTTATATGGAAATAAAGGAGGATGTGGTGATACACCACCAAACTAAATGTTGTGTAGGCTTACTACTCACTCCACGTTGGTATGTGGATGTAATTCGAGGAGAAGTAATTGAACAACGTCCTTGATATGATAAATTATGGGCACGTTGCCGGGCTACCATTTTTGTGAGGTTAAGTAGCCAAATGTGTTGATTAGCTACTAATACTAGTTTTACTTATTTCATTATAGATTAATAATCTGAAAGGAAGGAGGGTAATTCCTTGTAATCTGAGTTATACAACAAGGTATGTAAGGCTATTCGATTCCAGATTCTTTGGCATGAAATCTGATACTTGTGATTAATATCAATGAAGTGAATTTCCTAAGTTCTATTCCTAGTAAAGGAAACATAGTGGCAACGTACGAACTCCAAATAGATAACTATACTTTCCCACTCTCCTTAGTGTGTAGAATTACTTCATTAAAGGTTAATTACTATACATTTGTATAATTGTCCTCCTATGTGCTAATATAGAAATGGTATTCGCAATAGAAAGTTTGGTAAATTATCCTCTTAGTCAATTGAACTCAATTGTGCCATTTAAGCTCACAAGTAATAGATTGATGTTACATAGCTCCTTATCTCATTGTTACTGCCTTGAAGTATTATTTTCATTTCTTCTACTACTGGTTCGTAGTTCCAAATATAAAAATTGATTACGACCACCAAAACGACAATCTCAAAGATTAGAGAATCTAAGTGAAGCAATCTGTATAATTATGGGTGGCAGCCCAGGGGTAAATGCCTAGCATGGTTCGATCCCAATTGGTATAGAAGGGTGGCAGCTCAGGGGTGAAATCCTAGCATGGGCCAATCCCAATTGGTATAGAAGGGTGGCAGCTCGGGGGCGAAAGCCTAGCATGGGCCGATCCCAATTTGTGTAATTATGAGGACAGCATCTCAGGGGTTAAAATGCCTAGCATGGGTCATCCTCTTCTACCACTGATCAGTTGGTCATTCGTATCACATGCCTTATAAAGATCATAACACACAGAAAAGTAAAGAAATGAAAGCAACATACATGATCCCACAAGAGTTACTAGTAGAAACATAGTAAGAAACATACTACTAGAAAGTTATCCATGGATAATAAGAAAATGGTATCAGAGCCATGGATAATAAGATACATAATTAGAAACATACTAGTAGAAAGTTAAGAAAAATAAGAAGAAAATTAAACAAATTATATCCGGAATATAAAAAACTCAATATCACAAAAATTGACAACGATAAATTAGATCAATTAATAGATAATATGTCTAAAATAAAATATAAATATATTCAATATTTAAAGA